CCTCATATATCCCATGAGACACGGAGGGTCCCCGGTGTCCCTTATCCCCTGTGGGACATGGTGGGTTCCAAATGCCTCATACATCCCATGAGACACGGAGGGTCCCCAGTATCCCTTATCCCCTGTGGGACATGGTGGGTTCCAAATGCCTCATACATCCCATGAGACACGGAGGGTCCCCGGTGTCCCGTGTGCCCCGTGGGACGCGGTGGGTCCCCAGTGCCCCACACATCCCGTGGGCCGTGTCGCCCGGCAGGTCCCCGGCACCGGTGGCCGTGCCGGGTGCTGAGCAGCCGCGTTTGCCGCAGGACGGGGCTGATCCCCTGCGAGAACCCGCAGCTGGCCCAGCTCTCCAAGGAGATGGTGACACCCCTGGTCAACCAGTGGCCCTCGCTGGGGACCCTCAACGGCAACGAGAGCGGCTCGGACAGCAAACTCTACAGGAGGTAACACCGTGCTGGGGGCAGAGACTCCCTGACCCGTGCCCAGCACCCTGCCCTGCCCCGGGGGAGGGGGGACGGGGAGAAGGGCTGTGCCAGCCCCGGGGGGCTCAACGTTGTCCCTCTGCAGGCACAGCTTCGTGAGCACCGACCAGCTCTCGGCCGAGAACAGCCTCAGCTCCGACTCCCAGCGCCTGGGCGAGGGCAAGCGCGAGGGCGAGCCCTGGGGGCCCTTGGGTAAGACACCCCCCACCCACCAGTGGGTGCCCCACAGGGCTCAGTGTGTCCCCCCACACGCACCCAGGTGTCTGAACCCTCCCAAAAGCCCCTTCCTTGTGGCAGCAGTGCTGTCCCAGCAGTGCAGGGACACCCAGGGTCCCTCCCGGAGGGGTGGTCCCCGTCCCCCCGCGGTGGCAGCGCTGGGGTGCGAGGCCGCAGCCCCCCACGACACCCCTCTCTGCCCACAGGGAAGGACCCCACGCCCTCCATGCTGGGGCTCTGCGGCTCCCTGGCCTCCCTGCCCAGCTGCAAGTCCCTGGCCAGCCTCAAGTCCAACGAGTGCCTGGTGAGCGACAGCACGGAAGCCAGCCCGACCCGCAGCCCCAGCTGAGGCCCCCGGCCCCCTCACCGCCCCCCGGCCCGGCCGCCCGGCCCAGCGTCGCGGAGCAGGACTGAGCTCGGCCCGGGACTGAGCTCGGCCCCCCTCGCCGCCCCGGGAACGACGAGGGACTCGCCGAACCCACCGGGGAGGCTGGGGACGGGCATCCCCCTCCCCATCTCGACATCCCACCCCCCGGCTGTGCCTCGGACCCCCAGCCTGGACCCTGGCTGGAGACATGGACCCATTGGGATGGGGGATGCAGGACTGGGACCCAGGCGAGCTGAGGATGGGGGGGATGAACTGTGCCATGGGGGGACACTGGGAGCGACAGCTGCTGGGGAGCAAGGGGGGGATCAGGGCCAGGCCCCCTCCAGGGGTGAGGGTCTGGGCACAGCCCCGCTGTCCATCCTGCTCAGCCCTCAGTGCCCACCTGGCCTTCCCCAGCCCCTCTGCTTTGGGGGGCTGCCTGTCCCCCACTTCGGGGACCAGCTGTCCCTCCTTGCAGCAGCATCCCCACGCCAGGGGTAGGACTCCCCTTTCCCATCCCCTCCCCATCCTCCCCTGAGTTTTGGGTTGTTTTGGGTGATTTTGGTTTTTATTTCAGCCCCATCTGCCTGGTTGGAGCAAAAGGAAATCAATAAATGCAGCAAGCAGAGCTGGCCTGTCACCCACCCCCCCTGCTGGGATAGGGGGGAACAGACCCTTTGTGCCCCCCACCATGAGGTCCTGGCCCAAGCAGGGGTGCTGAGGAGGGTCCAGTGAGCTTCCTCCAGCCCCCCGGGCAGGGAGAGCACCTTTGGGACACAGCAGGTCAGCAGGGATGGGGTATCCCCCTGCCCCATCAGCAGTGGGGTGCTCAGTAAAAGCCCAGCAAGGACCCAGTGGGTGACAGTACTGTGCCCACACAGCAGGGACATGGCTGGCACCCCTGGGGGGTGCCCCTGGGGCCTTTCACAGCCCCCAGCACACAGGGAGAGAAACCCTTCCACTATGAGACAAATTTTTCTTTTATTTAAGAAAATAAGGGGAATTCCCCCTGTGAGTCCCAGGGGAAGGTGGGGGCAGTGCTCGCAGAGCTGTCCCTTGCAGTGAAGGGACAGGGCAGGGGGTGCCACAGTGCCCCCCGGCCCCCTGGAGCAGCAGCGAGGTCTGTCCCCATGCAGGGTCTGTCCAACCCAGGGTCTGGCAGGGGATAGGGATACCCCCAGTGAGAGGAGAGGTCCGGAGGCAGGGAGAGGGTCCTGTCGTGTCCCCATGCAGAGCCAGCAAGGGGAGGCTGTGCGTGAGTGATGGACCCCCGGGCAGAGCAGGGCTGGGGGGCCCGGGCAGGCAGAGAAGCCTCCGAGGTTTGGGGTTTGGTCCTCTCCTGAGCCCCAGCTCCACCTCCTGCCAGGCCAAGTCACCTGGGACATCCCATCCTTGCCAGAGTGTCCATGAATCCAGCAGCAGCAGCATCTGTCCAGCCCCAAGGGATGAGTGGGGGGGGCTCCATGTCCCCCCCAGTGTCACAGCAGCAGGCACAGGTGTCCCCCAGAGTGGCTGGGACAGGGAGTGGGGCCCCGGTTCTGTGTGTGGGGAGGCAGAGCGCGGGATGAAGGCACTTGGGCTCTGCACAGCCGAGCGTGGATCGCCGCTCCCGGGACTCCCGGCCGGAGCAGGGCTGGCACTGTCCCCTGGGCACGGCCACACACAGCTCTGCCCCAGCCCTGCTCACAACCCCCGCAGCCGCCGCTCCTGGTTCAGCTTCTGGAAGAAGGTCTTGCCAAATTCGTAGGTGCTGATCATGATGGCGCAGGCAGGTGCCACCTTGATGACACGGGGCAGGAAGCCTGCAAGGACAGCGCTGTCAGCCCTGGGGTGACACCAGGACACCCGGAACCCCAGCACAAGGCCGGGGCACGTCCTCACCTGCAAACAGCCCCCGGGTGCCAGACTCGGCGCGGATCCGCTGCATGAGCAGCCAGGTGGAGGAAGGCTTGGAGGCCGAGACTGTGGGGAGAGGGGAGCAGGTAAGGGTCTAGGGATGCCCATGAGGAGTCCTGGATGCCCCCCAGGCACCTGCCCGCAGGCCTGGCCCCTCACCTGGGTGCACCTCGCTGTCTCCCAGCTCGATCTGCCGCTGGGTTTTGACCACGTCGAAGGGCAGCGTCAGCACCGCGGCCACCTGTGGGGTTGGCACCGGGCAGTGAGCCTGGACCTGGTGACAGCTCGGCCGTCACCTCCCTGCACCATCCCAGCCCGCCCCTCCCTCCCACAGGGACCATCCCCCACCTTGAGTGAGCCTCAGCACCCCAAACTCACTGTGCCAGAGATGGCCCCAGATGTGAAGCTGACCATGAACGTGGCCTCTTCCAGCCAGGCCTTCCTGCAGAGCCACGTCCTCACCAGCTCGTAGTTAAACCAGTACAGAGCTGGGGGGAGAGGAGACACCAGTGCTACAACTGGACACCCTGGACACACCAACCCCCCGGCCCTGGTTCCCTGCCACCTCCCAGTGCCACCACAGCCATACCCGAGAAGGGGACATCCCGCAGCACAGTGGGTCCCCAGCCTCTCCAGAGGGACAGCCAGCCATCCTGGGCCACTGCTGACTGGATGCAGACACCCAGCTCGCGGTAGCTGAGCTGCCGGGACTGCATCTTGGTGCGGATCAGCTCCAAGGGGCTGATGACCGTCACGGCACCCACTGCAAGGAGGGGACACCGGGAATCAGCTCCGTCCGCTCCAGCGGCTGTCCCGGAGCCATCAGCACCATGCTGGGAGAGCCAGGTGCCGAAACTGGGCACCAAGACCTGCCACGCTCTGCTGGCACCACAGGGTGGGCACGGGGAGACCCCCAGGGAGGAGGGGTACTCACGCCTGGCGAGGGCCCCGGCCAGCAAGGGGATGTGGGGGCCCCGACTTCCCGTCCGGGCGTGCAGGTAGTCCCGGAGCTGGTCGTAGGTGGTGAAGTAAATGACGGTGGCTGGCACAGCCATGACCCTGTGAGGAGGAGGAGGAGGAGGGGAGTGAGAGGCACATGCACTCCCTGAGGGCCAGCAGGGAGCTTGGGACTGATGCCTGTGTGCCCAGGCAGGTGTTAGCACCCAGAATGCCCAAACTCACAGGGTGGGGGGCAAGCCGCTCCACAGGGACCTGATGCCCTCGTAGCGTGTGATCTTTACAAAGGCATCCTGGGGAGAGAGTGGAGCACCAGGGAGAGGAGTTAGAGGGAGGAGATGGGCAAACACCTCCCCAGCAAACACCCCTCTAGGACAGGGAGGCCCCTGCCCACCCTGCTGTGCCCACGGTCCCTACCAGTGTGCCAGTGAAGTGGGTGGGGGCCTTGTACCAGGCGGTGCAGCCGTTGCCGTTCTGGCAGACGTACAGGTGGTCCATGAGCCCATTGCAGTAGAGGAAACACTTCCCTGAGGCAGGAAGCAATGGCATCACTGTTAGACAGGAGACCCTTCCCCTCTGCCCCACACCCAGCACATCTGATCCCAAAGCCTTCCTTCCAGGAAGAAGCCAAACCGTCAGTGCTTGAGCCCAGCGGGACCAGCCCCCAGGCCAAGGCCAGGAGAGGGACAACCCTCTGGCCAGGGTCTGATCACAGCCAGACCCGCAGGGTGGGGGACACACAGCCCCACGGCAGGGATGGGAGCACAGCAGGACTCACTGCCAGTGGCAGGAGGGGTTTTATGCCTTGGTTGGTCTTGGCTCTGCTGCCGTGGCACGGTGGGGACACCACGGCCCCTCCACTGTGCTCTCAAGCCAGGCAGAGGGACCCAGGCAGTGGAGATCCAAAGGGACTTTGACGTAGCCACAGTACAGAGAGGGGGAGCACAGAGAGCCAGGCCTGTTGCACAACAGACCCCCCAGCAGACCCCACGGATGTGGCACAGCCAGCCCCAAAGCAGGGCTGCAGGAACAGCCAGGGCTGGGGACAATGGCAGCCCCCACGCCTCAGGGATGTCCCTACAGCCAGAGGAGCCCGAGCTGCCACCAGTGGAAAAGCAAACTGGGATCAAGGTTTGGGAAAGCGAAGCCACTGGCAGCAGGAGCTGCCTGGAGCCCCCGGGCGTACTCACATGTGGCCGGCTGAGCGCCCCAGGGCACTGCCTGTGCTGGCAACGCTGAAACACACAATGGGGACACACTGAGCACTGGCACCGGGACGTGCCACCTCCCAGGGCTGGGGCACACATGTGTGCTGCAGCTCCGAGCTGGGCAGTGGGAGAACTCCGTGGGTGAAGGGGCTGGATGCCCCCGCAGCCACTTCCCAAGCAGTCCCTATTGTCACCAAACCAGTCCCTTGGGCCCAGCCCGCTGACCCCACAGGATGGGGGCAGATGGAGGGCAGAGCCCACGAGGAGCAGTGTGGAGACTGGAACAAAGGCAGTGGGGGAACAGCGAGCAGCTGGAGCAGGGTGGGCCCCTCTGCCCTGCTCCCCAGGGGCTGGGGGCTGCCAGGCACAGCGCTGACCCCCCTCGGCACTGGGCTGTGGAGGGGGAAGGACAGAGCCAAGCACGAGCCCAGCTCCCCCAGCAGGGCCCCCCGAGCTCGTCAGGATGAGGGGCCCATGGTAACCTGCCACCTCGCAATGGCCCCAGGCTCTGGAGCCGAGACATCCCTGCCACTGGCTCTGCCAACCAAGCCATCCCCACGGGCTGCTCGCCAGCTGGCTGGGGGGCTGGCTGGAGCCCCCCACCCTGCCCTGAGCAGGGTTACCTTTGGAGAACGGGGTCCTCTGGGCCTGCAGCCGGATCTTCACCACGTCCAGCGGTGTCACTGAAACAACACCACCCTTTAGCCATGACTCCCCCCGTGCCAGCCCCCCGCCCCGGCGCCCACCCTGCGGTGCTCACCGAAGAGGGAGGTGAGGATGGCGCCTGTCCCCGAGGCCAGCATCTGCTGCAGTGGTGTGATGCCCACGCCGGGGCTCGGTGACGTCTTCTCAGCCATGGCACCGTCCCCCTGCAAGGCACGGCGGGGGATGCTCGAGGCCAGGGGGGTCCCTGGCTCCCCTGGGAGCCCCCCCAGCATCCCCACTCCAGTGGTGCGAGGTCAGTGTCCCACCTCCACCGTGCTATCGGTGCAGCACAGGGCAGGCGAGGGCCCCCATAATCGTGGTGGCCCGAGGGGGGGACAGGGACTGGCTGCTGGGGCTGGCCCAGCCCCGATAACACCCTCCTGGCCCCACGCTGGCAGCGGGCCCAGCCTGGCTGGAGAGGTGGGGACAGTCCAGGCCAGCCTTCCATGTCCTTGGAGAGGGAGGACTCTCCCCTCCCTGTGCTTGGAAAATTAAGGACAGGAAGGAACAAAGTCCAAAGATCAGCCCTGGCTGGGAAGGCAGCAGAGCCTGTGCAGCAGAGCAGTGCACCCATGGGCGGACACCAAGGGAGGGGGGATCCCCCTCATGAGCTTCCAACAAGCTCCCCAAAAAGGGTTTGGGCATCCCAAACCTTCTGCCTGATTCCCCCGAGGTTCGGCAAGGCTGCAGCCCCCGGAGCTGATGTGCTGCCTTCAGGAAGCAGGGGATACTGCACCCTTCCCAGGGAGGAGGGGACAGAGAATCGACCTTCAGCATGCTCAGAACCAACTGCTCCCTCCTGCCACAGCCCGGGGATGATCCTCACGCTGGGACAGGGCTGGGGCCACAGCAGGAGGGCTTCCAAGCTTTGGGAACCTACAGGGTTTTTTAAAGCCAGGGAATGCAGCAAAAAACCTTCCTCATCTGACTCAGCAATTTGCAAGGTCAGAGGAGTCATAAATCTCTCGGTTACAGGCTCAGGAGTTGCTGGGTGCCCAAGGCTGCGAGTCAGGACAGGTCTGTCCTGAACCCACATGTGCCAACCCCACCGGGAGCCGGGTCTGTGCTGAACCCACACACCTGTCCCACCAGGAGAGCTGGATCTGTCCCAGCCCCACACGTGCTGGCTCCACCAGACCTGGGTTTACCCTGGCAACATGCACACTCAGCCCCACCAGGAGAGCTGGGTCTGTCCCAGCACCACACACTTGGCCCCACCACGAGATCTAGGTTTACCCTGGCACCACACACACCAGCCCCACAAGTCACTGGGCCTGTCCTGGCACCACACACCCAGCCCCATGGGGAGCTGGGTTTACCCTGGCACCCGGCATACGCCGGCCCCACTGGGATCTGGGTGCTGTCTGGGCACAGGTCCCAGTGTGCCCGTCACGGGACGGCCGTAGTGCTCGCCCCACTGACCCCACAGCCATTGCGAAACCGTGGGCAGGGCGCTGGGGTCGGATCCCTGCCCCAGACCCAGCCCTGCTGCTCAGCCTTACGTAAGCCGGGGGAAATCTCTCGCTCCCAGCTCTGCAGCACCTGATAAACTCAGTTATACGTGACATGCCCCAACACAGCCCCCCTGTTGGTGCTGGGGGAGTGAGGCACCTCCAGGGCTCTCTTCTCAGCTGGGAGCTGCTCCCTTATCCATCCAGGATAAAATAAACCCTATGCCCCCAGCCCAGAGCCCCCTGCTCAGCCTGGAGTGCTGATGGGGCTGAGTACAGCACAGTGATGATCAGGACAAAAAGGGGGAGAAACAAATATAAGTTAAGATGATCAATGCAAAAAATTCCCAGGGACAGGGGACTGGGGGGGAGCTCAGGGGGTTCTTCCCACACTGGAAGGGCCCAGCTGGGCACTCCAGCCCTGAGCCAGAGAGAAATCCTGCCGGTAGATCCCCTAGTGCTTCCCAGACCCTGGGCTGCTCCAGGTTTCCCCCAGTCCATCCCTGTGGGTCCCCAGAGAGCACAGGGGCTCATCCTGGTGGTGGACAAACCACTTTCTCCTGGAGCAGGGGATGGTGCTGGAGCGTCCCCCAGGGCTCAGAGGGACCCCAGCCTTGACCGCTGCCCCGGGGAGCCCCCCAAGGCAGGGGCAGCCCCCCCTACCTGTGGTCTGCACCCCTACCTGGGTGGAGCCTGCAGCCCCCCACCGCCCCGGGGAGCTCCCTTACCTGGGCTCTGTACCTCTACCTGGGGTCCGCACCCCTACCTGGGGTCTGCACACCCCCTCGAGCTTGGAGCCCCCACCCCAGGGCTGTGTCCTCTCCCCCGGGCTTTGCAGCCCACTCCGAGCAGAGAATCTCCCTCCCCTGGCTCTATTCCCCCTCTCCCAGGGTCTGCAGCCACCCCAGTCCCGGTGCTTGTCCCCCCCCCGCCCTGGGAACGGAGCCCGGGGGTCCTGAGGCCGCCCGTTCCCCCATCACAGCCGCACGACCCCCGACACCGGGGGGAAACTGAGGCAGCGGCGGCGCGTGCCGGACCGCGAGGGCGGGGTGCCGTGAGAGGAGGAAGGGGTGTCGGGGGAGGTACCGGGGAGTGCCGCCCCACCTGCTCATTCCAGCCCGGCTCGGCGCGTCCCTGCGGGGCCGGGAGGCGGGGGAGCGGCGGCGGCGCCTTTAAGGAGCGCCATGAGCCCCGCGCGCCCTTCGCCGCGCGCCGGCCCCGCGCCGCACTTCCGCCCGCCCGCGCCGCGCACGCGCCCTGCGCCCCGCGCGCCCCTGCGCCCCCTGCCGGCCCGGGGAGGGGAGGGAAAGGAGCGGCGGCGGCGGCGCCCGCGCGGGAACGCGCGTGATGGGGCGCGTCGGGCACGCGCCTTGTGCGCACCCTGCACACGCGGGCGCGCTTTGCACGCTCACCGTGGTGGGGAGGGACGGAGGGGCGCGCCTTGCGCGCTCACCGGTTTTGGGGGGCACCTGGCGCACGCTGTACTGACAGAGGGGCACCTTGCGCGCTCGCCGCGATGGAGACGGACACACCTTGCACACCTCGAGTGTTCACCGGGCTGAAGAGAGAGGGACGTGCCTTGCACACTCCCTGAGCTGGGGAGGGACACCCTGCACTCTCACCGTGATGGACAGGTGTATGCCTTGCACACTCATGGTGCTGAAGAGAGAGGAACGTGCCTTGCACACTCCCTGTGCTGGGGTGGGACAGCCTGCACGCCCACCGTGCTGGAGAGAAACACACCTTGCACACTTACCATGATAGAGAGGGACGTACCTTGCACACTCACCATGGTGGAGAGAGAGAGAGGGCACGCCTTGCACACTCAGTGTTCTGACACAGGGGCACACCTTGCACACGCACTGTCACCATGCTGGCAAAAGAGCACGCCTTGCACGCTCACTGTGCTGGCAGAGGGACACCCCTGGCACACTCACCGTGCTGGCAGAAGGCTGTGCCTTGCACACTCGCTGTGCTGAAGGCTCGGGGCTCTCCCACTCGCCCTCCCAGGCCCAGCAGGGTTTGCACACTCGCCCTGCCGGCAGTGTAATGTGCTGCACACCCGGGTGGAGGGGCAGGCTGGGACACGGGCACGGTGCCGTGCCAGGGCCAGTGCTGCTCCGCTGCCTGCACAGGAACAAAGCCCCTCAGTTCCCAAAGCACTGGCACTGGAGTGCCCAGCAGCTCCCTGTCCTCTCCCGGGCCCTTGGAGCGGGATGCAGACAGCCTGCTCTGCCACTTCCACCTGGGCCCGTGAGAGTTGGGATTAACTTCGGGACCTGCCTGGTCTGGGGGGCTGGAATCCCGTCTCTGCTCGGTGCAGACCCTCATTTTCAAGTGTTGGGAGTGCTGTGTTTCCTGGGGAGAATCCTGAGTCCTTCTGGGCGCAGTAGTGAGCTCCCTGAGGGGCTCTTATTTCTGTTGGTGGTTAAATCTGGATATTTTCTCAGGAGGAATTTCTTCCTGGAAAGGGTGGTCAGGCATTGGAAGGGGCTGTCCAGGGAGGTGGTGGAGTCCCCACCCCTGGAGGTGTCCAAGGAAGGACTGGACATGGCACTGAGTGCTCTGGGCTGGGGGACAAGGTGGGGATGGGGCACAGGGTGGACTCGAAGTCCTCGGAGGTCTTTTGCAACCTCAGTGATTCTGTGAAGATGGTCCAAGTGCATCCGTGTGCCCCTGGAAGGGAGGAGAGCCCTTCTGGTGCCCTTCGCCCCCACGCTGTAATCTGGGCTGACAACAGCAGATGGGTCCCAAAGCCCCTCTGAAACCTGCACAGCCCCCCGGGACTGCGGCTCTGCCCCAGCGGGTGACTGGGTGATGGGGTTGGAGAACTGGGATGAGGCCACAGCAGTGCTCCAGCTGGCATGTCCTCCAGGGAACCCGCAGGTCAGAGCTTCCTGGGGACTCCACTTGCGCGGCAACGTCCCTGCAACACAACCTGTTGTGGTGCTGCGTGATGCAATCTCTGCCTTAGAGCAGGGCTGAACTTTTGCCCTGACTTAATCTCGAGGATAAATCCTGCACTGGTGCCCACAGCACCATCCCGTGGGAAGGACAGGGGATGCTCAGGGACAGGTGATGTACAGGTGCCAGAGCAGCCTCTGCCTGGTGAGCAGGAGGATTCAGGGCTCGGAGCCTGCAGATCCAGGGTGTTTACTCAGGAGCCTACTTCACCCACGGTGATGTTCCCTGTCCTTTTGTGGAGCTGGCAGGGACATGGTGGCTGCACTCATCCAGGAATAAAGTCCCTCCTGGCCACTGGCATCTCTGAGGATTGTCAACGAAGGGGGCAGCTAATGCCAGGACCTGCCCTTCCATGACACCAGGTCCAAGGGAATCTTGGCTTTTAGTGATGTGAGCCCAGGAGCCTCACAATTCCCACAAAGTCCCCTAAGTGAATGCATCCTGTGACTCCCCGATGAGTCAGCTCTGCCTCTTACAGAGGCACAGGTTTTAAATGATGTGAAAGCCTCTCGCAGCTGGTAATTGAGAAATGGAATAATGATTAATTAAAATTTATCTCTCCTTAGGGGTATTGGGTCTTGTATCTTCTGGTTTAGGTGTTGGACTGTGCTTGGCTTCCACGCAGCTGAAAAGAAAAGGAATAATGTTTTTCCAGCCGGGGACAGGGAAAGAGGGACAAGTGTACAATAGTGTAAGTGCCTTGGCCTCAATTTTTTGGGTCTGTCCATCTGCTAAGGAGGTCAGGGTGAAAGTGGTGAGTTTGTTTATCCCGAGCTCAGCACTGCCGAGGCGAGGACCTGGCTGGCTCTTTGTGCTGAGTCACAGCCCGCTGGCCTCCTGCGCTGTCCAAACGCCGGGAATGTTTCTGTCCCCAATTCCTGTCCCCGCAGTCCCGCTGGCCTCGGCGGGGTGCCGCGGGTGCACCGTGCTCCCATTGCTCTGAAAATGAACCGCAAGTTACTTCAGATGGAGAGAACCGTGTCCGAGTTGAAAATGCACATTGGGTCCGTGGGGAAGGAGCCGGCTGAGCTCTAATCCCCCCCTGAGCCGAGGAGTCCGACCGCGGGGACGGTTTGCGTGAGCGCCGCTCCGGGTCTGTCCTGCCGTGACACGGCACAGCACGGCCGGGAAAACGCTTGTGTAACTCCCTGCTCCCAGTTCCACCCAGCTTATGAAACCCAGCTGGTGTCCTGGGCCAGGGCCACGGCCTGGGAACTGCGGTCCGGGGGCTGTGCCTGCCTGGGGCTCCTCGCCGAGGAAGGGGCATCCTGTAGTTCCAGCGCCTGGAATCACTTTGGAAAGATCAATCCTGTCTCCTCGCTTTCAAAAATTGCGTTTTTGAAAGCAATTAGCCCGTTTCCTTTTTTTTTCAGGTGAACTTCAAGGGCCAGGTTGCAAAAGGATCTGGGTAGTGCTTTAATGGAATTAAGCCAGGGCAGAATTTGAGTATTTATTTCAGCTGGGATCATTATGGTTTTGCAAAAGCCAGGCTTAAGCTGAATTAAGTGACTCAAATGAAGCAGCTTTTGGCCAGAGGAGGCCCTGGGGACACCAGACTTGTATAACCCAGAACACAACCCAGAATTCCTAACGCAGTTGCAGCTCTGCAGGTCAACTCCCACTGCAGGTGACACTTGGGAAGGTGTCCTACCTTCTGGAGCACCTGCCAGGGAAAACCTTGGTAATAATGAAACAGGTGACAAGCTGCACCTGTGAGGAAAACGAGCCTGGTCTTAGGGATGAAGAAAGAGGTATGGAAGATAAAGGCTCCATGCTTCCCTCCCTAAAGGATTCCTTTATAATTTAATGTTAAAAGTAGTGTCTTGTTTCCACTAGCAGCAGTATGGGTCAAAAGGAGAGGAGGGGAAGGAAGAGCCTGGCCTGAGAATGGTAGGATAAATTCCCAGATCCCTTTTCCAATAAACAAAAGCCCCTATGAACACAAAGTGGCCAGAAGAGCTCTGAGCAGTAATTAAACTCTTCATCAGCTTCAGCCCATTGCAGGGACAGGTAAATCTGCCCTCAGAGAGTTTCCCTGCAGTTCCTCTCGGCTGGGGCAGGATCTGCTGATCACCGTGAGCTCATCCCACCTGGGGCTGCTCCAGCAGTTCCGGAAACATCTCGGTGTTGCTGCAGCAATTGATGGGTTTAATTCCTGACAAACCTTTGCCAGTAGATCTTCTAAATGGCCTGGATGTGGCTGTGCCTGAGCATCAGCTGGGACTGACTAATGATGCTTCACTTTCCAGATTTCTTGGATCCGGACAGGACTTGTTGCCTGCTGAGCTGAGAATTTTGGCAGGTAAAGGTGGGCTTTGAGATGACTTTAGAAAGCCAGGTGTTGTCATGCTTTAAGAAATAAGGCCTGGGAGTCCCTTCTGGTTTGGCTGTCTTTAGATGAAGAAATAATCCTGTTGGAGGGTGCTCAGCTGATTCCCAGTCAGTCTGCTGTTCCCGGTACATCCCTACTGCCTGTAGGAAGAGCTGCTGTCCCAGAATTGGACTTGAGCTGCTTGCACTGTAATTCATCTTGTTTGCCGTTGAGTCACAAGGACAGATCCTCTTGTAGCACTGTAGTGTTTATTTTACCATTCCCAACGCTGTGGTACTTTTTTGAGAGAAGATGGGAAAATTCTCCAGATAATTTATAGTGGGTACTTTCTAGGCAGTTTAAAAATGGGCCATTCCCTTGGTTTTAGATGCCTTACCCGTTCCTATTGATCTGAAAAAACAACCCCCAAACCAAACATCTCATAGTTGCATGTTCATAAATCCATCTTTTTCCCCCTCACGTGACTGTACTTCGTACTTCTGCAGTTACTGATACTGTAGTAAGAGAAGGGCTTTGACACTCCACAGACCTTTATTCCAAACCAAAAAAGACCATTCCCAACCCGGTTTGCTTTAAAAAACCCTCTGGTGCTGCAGGTTCCACATCTGTTCTTCTTTGTTCCCTCCTGAGCTTTCCCCTTTACAAAGAGCCTGTTCTTAGACTGGACATTGCCCTTGATTTGCACCTCGATGTTTCTCAGGGAAAAAACTGAAACCTGGAGCCTGCCCTCCCGTAGTTTCTCCACTAAATCCAATTACTAGGGACAGTAACCCTGTTAACACAAGGTCGTAATTCCATCAAGGGATCTCCACTGTGTCCATAATGCTCCTGGGCCGAGCCGGAGCATCTCAAATGGAGCAGGCAGGGCGGAGAAGGATCTTTTTGGGAGCATGACTTGTTTCTTCAGCCTCTCCCTCCGCTTTCCAGTGCTTCACGCTGGTCACAGGCTCTGTGTGGAGCGGTGAGGGAGCCCCAGTGCTCCCCAACAGCTCAGGGTCACCTGTTGGCTCCTTCCGACAGGTGTCTGCTGAACCACACGCCGGTGAAAGCCGCCCATCCCTGAGCCTCCCCGCCGTAGGTGCTGGGGGCGATGCTGCGGAGCTGCCGCCGCGTGCAGGAGGCAGGGCTGCCTCCCCCTTTGTCAGCGCGGAGCTTTACCGGCGGACGAAATCAAACTTGAGGCTGGCGAGGGGATGCCGTTCCCTACACCGCCATCTCCATGGATGCTGAGGGCTGTGACCGGGAGCGCGTGCGGGCAGAGAGCGGGAGGCAGGGCTGGGGAGAGGCGCTGTCCCGCATTCCCGGGGGGGCTGTGGCGGGTGCAAGGGGGTCGATGCGAGATCACAAACCTCTTCCCGAGGATAACCCCCCCCCATCGTCTTTTGGCGCCCGCCACAAAATGGCGGGGGGGGGGCGTGAGGTGACTGGGAGGGGGGGGCAACGCGGCAGCGCCCCCTGCCGGGCGGGGCCGCGCGCGCGGCCGCTCCCCGCAGACAATGGGGCGGCGGCGTCGGGAGCGCGCACGGGCGGGGCGAGCGCCCCCCTTGGCGGGAAAGGGGGTGGGTGGGGGGCGGGGGGGGGCTCGGCGGCCGCTCCGCGCACGCGCGCGCGCGCTCCCGCCCCGCCGGCGCGGCGAAGGTTCCGGAGCCCGCGCGCGCCCCCGCTCCGCTGTCACCGTCACCGCTGTCACCGTCGGTCGCCCCCCGGCTCCCGGTGTGGACACCCCCCCCCCCTCACCCCCTCCCCGCGCAGCGGCAGGTACGGGGGGCGCACACGGCGGGGAGGAGAGGGGGAGCGGGGAGGTGGCGGCGGCTGGGATGAGCCGGGATATCGGGAGGGTGTGTGTGTGTGTGTGGGGGGGATGTGAACCCGCTCTGCCCGCGTGGAGAGGGGGGGAAAAAAAAAAATAAAAAAAATTATTACAAGCCGAGAAGCCAAAGGCGGCCGTTTCATCCCCGGCAGAAGGCGAGGGGCGCGGGAGGGGCGTGCCGCGGTGCCGGCGCCCCGGGGCTGCGGCAGGGCGAGGCGCGGCCCCTGCGGCAGCGCTGCCGCCCGGTGCAGGTGCGGCGGGAGCGGCCGCGGACCGAGCGATGCGGAAAGCGCGATTTTGGGGCGGGGTGTGTGTGTGTGTGTGTGTGTGTCTCTACCCCGTTTTCGCCCCCTTTTTTTTCCCCCCGGCAGGTGGGGCCGGGGCTGCGGCAGCAGCGGGGCCATGTTCTGCAGCC